CAGAGATCGTAACATAAGCTCACTTAAGCATTTGAAACAGGACAGAAAATTCAATGATTAGATTAGATAGAAAGTCTCATTTCTCAGAAGCAGGCAGATGAATCTCTTCTAGGTAAGTGCAACCTAGTTCAAAGTATAAAAACACGACTCACGTGCTCAGTTGGAACCCCACAAAGTTGCGAATGTTGTGGAAGATTGCTTTTCCCTCCTCCATTGCAGCCAAAATGGTGGCAAAGTTATCGTCCAAAAGAACAATATCGGATGCTTCACGACACACGTCCGTACCTTTCAGACCCATGGCCACGCCAATATCGGATGATTTGAGCGCAACCGCATCATTAACTCCGTCACCGGTCATTGCCACTGTCATTCCGCCTTGCTGTAACGCCTGTATAAATGTGCGAGATGCGGGTGGTGAACATCGAAAGAGTTTCAAATCCGATGATATTACTTTGAATTCAAACTACTAGCAGAATATTCGATTGCGACTTGAATTTTCAGTTTCTTCCGTGTTACTTTTAGTCTCGATCCTATTAGTGTATTGCACTGCATTTTTTCCACCTTCTAGCGAACTCGTCAGCACTGCCTTCCCGTGGAGGTGTTTTCCCGATAAAGTGAGAGGAGGAAAATCCAACATCCGGGCTATAACCGGGTTGGTGAACCATTGGCAGTTCACCTAGGGGAGTTGGCTAAAAACTGTGATTCCAAACCAACCAAGAAGAGGCGTACGAACCACACACCTTCCTGGTTGTGGCAGTGGTCACCGGCACGATTGGGCATCGAGGTGTATTGGGTACCTTGGACGATTGACCCCGTCCAAGGGGCGTATGATCCCCCAAGAGACTGAGGACTCTGAGTTCCATCCTGTTTTCTTACAGGTCTGGTTTTCTGGCCACAGCCTTCGGGTGGGAACCCCGAGGTTATCTCGCTTCCTCGGTCAGAGCAACCGGGAAGTAACATACCCACACAACCTATGAACACATTCAACAGTTCTTTTGTTCATATGTTGTGGCACATTTGCCATTTCTTTGCAATTAGGTACGCATTGAAATAATAAATGAATAATGAACTCATTAGAGCAACCCAGGGATTCAGCCATAAAAATGAAGATAATGACTAAGACAACTAGACATGTACTCTGAAACAATTGCCCCACAAATATTAAGATCGGAAACTGTTACTCAAACGAAACACACTCACTCGAACAATTTTGCACTTGTGCCTTGGTCCGGAACGGTAAAATATAGTCACATTACGAACACGAGTTTGGAGAGCAGTCAGACTCATCTGTTCGATCTCCTCTCCACTAAGGCATAAATCACCTGGTCGATAGAGGGATAATTTTCCACCTAAAGAGGAGAAAAAAAAATCGTACGTTTGTCAGAAAGAAGTGGTGCTAGACAAAGGAAAAGCTAGACTTCATATTTAGCGACAGCGTAAAGTAACTCAGGTGTGAAGGATGCAAAAAGAATAAGTNTCGTAGACAATTACCCCAAATGAGTTATTTGTGAAACTTTCATATCATCTTATTTTAACTCTGCGCTAGATACCCACTACAAAAGGAAATAACATGCTACGGTTCCTATCCGTTCTCACTATGAAATCCTCAACACGTCTTATCTTGCACCAACAGGGAGAGGGGCTACAAAATAAAACTTCGACTCAATTTTAGACAGCAGGTCATTTCTGTTATCTCTGAACTATTTTTCGTCATGTATTCACCGTGACGGTTGGCATGACTAACATTTACAGGTTGTGCTGTGTTCAAATGAGTTGCAGGAAACTCCATATAAATAACACAATATCGGTGGCAAACACAAAAAATAGTAAGTGATGAATCACTATCTTTAGACAGTGATTCACAACTTAGGATGGCTAGTTGGTGAGTCTTTTACAAGTCATCAGTGACATCCAGATGTTCTAGAATTTGGATGAAACCCGCGATCACAATCGGATTGGACTCAGATCTAAAAACGAGTTCAAACTAGTCCTAATTACGACGGATGAGAACGAAAAAACACACCTGATTAGTTACTGAAATGAACGTCTGAGAAACAACACAATTTTGGACGATCTCATAGTAATACCATTTGAACTTTTGGTGGGAGTTAGCACGCATAATAAACTCTATTCTGGTCCGATTAAATCATGCAATCTGATAATCAGGCCTGAAAAGTGTAACTTTAACAATAAGAAACATTATAAGCAGTATTATCACGGATGGGCGGACGCGGTGAATTCGGAATTTTTTGATAAAACACAAACCGGATTTAAATCGAAATGAACAATGAAGTAGAACAAAAAGTGCTGTTCTAATGGATCGTACACAAACAGAACACGAAATAAATCTTTATCCCGTTAAAGCAAACGTATAAAGGATTTCAATTCCAGTAACAAGGAGGACAGATGAAACAACGAAGACCAACTTCCCATGGTCATATGACAACAGATGATACCACGGTTGATGGGTTATGCGTTTGTACGGTGAACTCAAAACTTGGAAATCCGATGAGCGTTAAACTAATAAACTACATCCCGATTGTATTACGATTTTTGTGCCAGGAC